TGGACTCTATTGTATGTGGCTTCTTTCACTTACATAATGCTTTTGAGGTTTAGCTATGTTTTTGCATGTAGTATTACATTATACGGATATTCCACAATTTGTTCACTTATCTGTTGATGGACAGATAAGTGTTTGGGTCATTTTTAGTTTTGTAACTATTATGAATAAAGCTGCTCTGAACATTCACTTTTTTGAACACATTTTCATTTCTTCTGGGTATGTTCTTAAAAGTGAGATTACTAGATCCTACTTTTTTATATGTTTAACTTTCTGAAAGACTGCCAAAATATTTCCAAAGTAGTTTTTCCACATAATATTCCCACCAGAAGTTTATGAGAGATTTTCCACATTCTTATAAACAATTGATGTTATTATCAGTCTTTAAATTTTAGCCATTCAAATGGGTGTGAATTAGTATCTCGTTGTGATTTTAATCATAATTCAGGGAAATGATCTCCAGGGCTGGTGGAGACAGGAGACAGCAGCAGTTTTAAAATTCCCCATTTTAATGTGCCATATGTATGTGTGTGCAAATATACAGCTTCCAGTACATGATTTGTCTTTTGATTTTTCTTAACAGACTCTTCCAAACTTTTAAATTTTGATGATACTTTTTAATTTTATGATTAAAGTTTACTAAGTCAGGTCTAGAAAATTATTGCTTATATCAAGAAGATATTTTCCTTTGTTTTCTTCTAGAAACTATAGAGATTTGGCTTTTATGTTTATATCTATAGTGCATCTTAAAATAATTGTTAGCATTTCATATAAGGAGCAGTTTGAGGCTCATTTATATTCATATAGGTAGTCAGCTGATCCAACACTATTTGTTTTAAATACTTTCTTTTCCCCCGAATTGCTTTAGATTCTTAGTAAAATAATGATAGATAGATAGATGAATAGATAGATAGACAGATAAATAGACTGTGAAAGTATGGGTTTATTTCTGAATGCTCTTTTTTGTTTTATTGATTGTAATGTGGCAACCCCAAATCTGAGAAGACTTGTACGTAATGTTTACCTATCCCAAAGAAGTCACCCAGAGGTCAGCAGGGAAAGACACTGGTTTTTTATCAGTTATAAGAGGCACCTGTGGTGACTGATTGGGGAAAATATCCACTCCTGGGGAGAGTACAGTAAATAGTTTTATAATCCAGCAAGTTAATTATTCAAATTGTTACAATTGCAGTGATTAAGAATGATGTCTACATTGTTTTCAGTTTTACTCAATCACCTGCATCCCATGACTCATTACTGGGAATATGCATATCCTTCAGAAACCAGCTGTGGCCAGAGACTGCTCCTTGAGGGAGGGAGGGGCAGGAAGAAGCCAGGTATGGGGGAAACACTCTATGACTGGACAATACCTCAAACTGATCCTATTTGCTTATCTTTAAACTAATATCACAGTCTCTTGATTACTGTAATTTTATATTGAGTCTTGCAATCAAGTAATATGTGTTCAAGTTATTCTTTTGTAAGATTGTTTTGACTACTTTTGATTATTTGTATTTTCCTATAGATTTTATAAATAACTTGTCAATTTAATTTTTAAAAGCCTATGAATTTGATTGATATTGCTTTGAATTCATAGATTAATTTTAAGAGGATTAACATCACAATAACACTGACTCTTTTAATCAATGAACATGGTGTATCTCTCCATTTATGTTTTCAATTTCTCTTCGTCATGTTTGTAGTTTTCATACACAGGTCTTGCATCTATATCTCTAAACTCAGCTCCAGTATTTTACTTGTTTGTTAGCTATTATAAATGTCATTGACTTTTTTGGTTGTTTTCTCAGTTATATTAAATTTATTTAATAGACAGGAATAGTCTCAAAAATCTTTCTCTTCATCAGATGTTAGCAAAATTTTTGGCCTTTGAGCTTGAACATGGAGCTTTACTCCATCAATAATATGATTTTCCTGCTGTACTGTATTCTGAAGTTCTTCTGAAGAAAACTGAATCCAATCCATATCTCTGTGAAAGTCAGTCTCTTTGTCAAAGGGTACGATGCACTTTTGGATATGGTCAAATTGTGTGAATTGTTCTCTTAGCTCACTTGATGCCGTGATCCAAGGAATTTTAAATAGTATGCAGCCATAAGGAAGGACAATTATGAACTTTGCAGTAACTTGGATGGCTTTAGAGTCTATCATACTGAGTGATCTATCACAGAAACAAAGTACTGAGTACCATATGTTCTCACTCATAAGCAGACTTGAACAACTATAATACTATAAGGAAAGGATTGGCAGTAGTGGAAAACTGCCCGGGGGGGAGGGGGAGAATTGCCAGTAGTGAGAAACTGCTGTTGGGTGGGGCACACCTCATCAACAAGGGTACCTGCATAATGAGCATTTGTATGCCTAACACTGATTTGTACACCACAACTTTAAAATAAAAATTTTTTTTTAAAATTTATTTTCCAAATGCCATTATAACGAGCCATTATTTTCATATATTGATTTTTTGTATCCTGTGATCTTGCTAAATTCACATATTAGGAACAGTTGATTGTTTGTATATTCCTTAAGATTTTTTATGTACACAATCATGTCATCTGTGAATAAGGACCATTTTATTTCTTCCTTTCCAAAATGTATGTCCTTTATTTTGTTTTTAGCATTACTGCATTGGCTAGAGTTGCCAGTACAATGATGAATAGAAGTGGTAAAGTGGATATCTTCCTTGTGTGCTCCAGAGATTTGTATTGAAAATTTAGCCAAATCAAAAGCTACAAATGCTTAGGGCAAGACTCTACAAGGCCTGGCAAAATGCAACTACTGGAGGAAGAGCAACTACCAAGAGGCTGTGAGCTGAACAACTATCAGGTGTCTCACAGGGGTGGAAAACATTTAAGGTATGACAGAATAAATGAAAGACCTTGTAGGATACTCATAGAAATGAATAAAGACCTTATAACGTTAAGCTTAATAGTTGATAACCTGCTATTTTCACCATGATACTTGGAACTGTCCTAATATACTCTCCACCAAAGTGTCCTTTGATGGTTTATTTATCTTTCAAGGAAATCATTACTTTAAGCAGATTTCACATCCTAGGGGCTGGGAAATGTTCAGTCAGATATTATAGTATCCGACCCCTTTAAACACACATATCCCATATCCCAGTAAACAGCTGAGGGAAATATTAAATGTCTTTCTGAACTTTAAGATCATAACTCCACAGTAGGATCGCAGCATAATACAGACAGATATAATTCAAGGAGATAAACAGAAATTTTGGAAATTAAAAAGGATAACCAGAATCAAAAAGAAAATATAATAATAAGAATTACTAAATTTGGGAGTCATGTTCCAAAGAGAGTAGTAAGAACACCATCATAATTTAGGGCTAATTTAGTTCATAAATATCCTAAAATACACATCACAGGGAATAGTGCTTTGACCAAAGAAATAGAGAAGATGACTTAATGCCTTTTCTCAGTTTTGAAAAATACTGCATTACCACAGTTTGAAAAAAATAATAAAGAAAAAAACACCAAAGGCAAAATTTGAGTTTTCTGCCTTGCCAAGAATAAAAGGAAGACACTTATACTGTCAATCAAAGCATAGAAATACACCAAATTGCAGTTCAAATCAATCCTTTGCCTTTGAGGCCAACTTTTTTTTTTTATACCAACCATATAGAGACTCTCTGCCTTCTCTGGACTATTTGGAAAGTAATTTATTTTGAGATACTTTGGACAGATGCTGGTTGTGTGCCTGCCTCACCCAATGTGTTCTTTAGAAATTGCATCAGCACACATAAAAGACTCTTCAATGCCTGGCAAAATAAAGACCTTGGGCTAGTCTTTTTGGCTCTATCCAGTTAGTGGAAATTATGAGTATAAATAATTAAAAACAAAGTATCAAGAATAAAAGTACACAATGGTGAACAGGTTTGGGTGTCATTCATTGTCTTCTTAGTGCATAGCACACATGGTTTTTCTTTGCTATTTTATGCCTTGCCCCAAATCACAGCATTACACACTTGTAGGGAGGTTAAGCTATAGACTAGTGCAAACTACATCGGGTAGTCTGGTGAATATTTTTAAACTAGTTTTAGCTGCAGTGTTGCTTATTTTGAGTTGCAGAGCCATCAAAACTGAATGGATCTAAAAGATTAGTGAAATAGACTAAAATTGGTGAAACACAGAAATTAGTCCAAACGGATTGTCAAAGCAAAAAGAAATCTCAAGTAGGTGACAGGAACTAGGCCACAAAGCCAAGAGATAAAAGTTCTTAGGAGATGGAAACAAGAAAAAGCTGGTTCAAGTGAATGAGTCAAAGACTGGTAGGGAGGCTACAGAAAATATTAACGGCAGAAGGTACTATCTAGGGCTGAATTTTCCATTGCTCACACTAATAGGAAATTGAACCTTGATAAGCAGTTGCATCCAGCTAAATTGAACTGAGCTGATCTGACCTATACTGAATTGATATGAACTAATTGAATCTATTAAATAATTGTATTGGGTTAAACAACTTTTTTAGAAACTTATTTTGATGTAGATACATACAGCTATAAAATTTAGACAATACAATACTTTTACTAAATTATTTTTAATTACTTAATCTTGGAATGGACATTCAAAGGTTTGTAATTTTACCCTCTTGGCCTTTAGGACCATATGTAAATCATCTCAAAAATTGAACAATGAAGACAATAGAATAATGTTTTCATTAAACACATATACACATACAGTTTGGCCTTTTAAAGATAATTTTTGCTCATTTTTAAGTGATATGGAAGAGAAAGCTGTGCTCCAACTTCTGGCCTGGAAACTTTCATTTAGTGCTTTATGACAGAAAATAACTTTGTAAAAATATGACCCCAAAGATGAGATGGGGAAAAGAATGAGATGACAAAGAAAATTTTAGGAGTTCTGGCAAGATGGCGAAGGGGCAGGTTGGTCCATGAGATTCTCTATGAAAGCGAGTGCCCATAGGGACTTTTGCTCTCCCCTGATGGCTTCTGCTCCTGCTACTACCAGTCTGCTCTTCAGCCAACTGCACAGGCCTGTGAGCTGGCAGAAACTGGCCCCATGTTCTGTTCTGTCTGCCACCGCAGCCGCTGCTGCTGCCGCTGCCACCACCAGTTGTGTTGACCCACGGGCTGGAGGCCTTAGGTTCCATGTACTGCACTGCTGACTCGGTGGCTGCCACTCCCTCCTGCAGTCACTCTCTCCCCTTGCCTGGGTTGGCCCTCAGCTACCAGCCTGTGGAACTCCTCCCATGCACCGCACTGCTGACAAGGTCACTGCCACCAGTGCTCTTCACCACAGCCACTCCCTCCCCCAAACCAGGGTGGCCCTCAGCTCTTGGGCGGCCAGTGGAGCTCCGGGTCCCCACACCTGCTGCACCATCCCGCCCAAGTTTCCCAGTGCCACTCCGACCTGCAGTTCCCAGCTGTCTCCCTTCACCTCCCCCAGCTCGACCCCCAGCTGGTGGGTCCAGAGAGCAGCTGGAGCCCTGAGATCAGGCAGAGACCTGCGTTGACCCACACAGCTCCACCCAGCTTTGCCAACCTCCAGCTTGGACCTAAGATAATGGCATCAAACTGGAAGAGACAGAAACCCCTCCCCCATGCTAGTTCAGGCACAGGTCAGATCTGAGTGGCAGACATCACAGGCAGCAAGTTGACTGAGCCCAGATCTGATCTAACCTCCGCTGGCAGCAGGCCTGTGAACAACCCTATCAGCCTAGAGCTAGAGATCAGAGCAGAAAGGACACTGGACTTAGAGGAATGATCTAAGGGTGTGCTTGGTTCCCTTGTTTTTATTTTTATTCTTTTTATGTTTGTTTTACTAATCTTTTTTTTTCTCTTTTCTCTCTCTTCTTACTGTTAATGATCATGTTTGCATAGTTGCTTTGTCTCTGTTGTTTACTGATTTTTTTCTTTAGACTTCATGTTTGTATGGGGAATAGTATCAATAAGTAGGTTGATTGGCTCGTGTGTCTGTATGATTGTCTGTATGTTTTAGTTATTTTTTTTCTTTTTAATCTTTTCTGTCTTTGTGTCTCTTTTCATTTGTTAATCAGTATGTTTGTCTGTTTTGCCTCTTACTCTTCTCACTCTCCACCTACCTCCTACTCCCCTCCCCCATTACATTATTTTCCTTTTTCTTACCCCATTTTGCTTTAAGTGAGTAACCGTATTCCCCCACTGTATGGACAGATTTCAAGGCAGTAGGAAGTGGGTTCCAGGATATCCATACACCTGTCAGTGGATACTGGGAGCACACAAGGAAATCTATCTACAGATAGATTTTGAAACACAGCTTCCCCCTCAATTAAATCTCAAAATTGCAAAAAAAAAGTACAGCCCCCAACCTACAGTCTAGCTTCAGAAGTGAACAAAGCTAGAGGATTCACATAAGGAAGAATAGGAGATCGAGCAAACAGAAGTAAAAGCAACCGCACCACCCCTGAACAACAGCATTAAAGAAGGGGGGAAGAAAAAATGGAGAGGAAAATCTACACAAATGAAGAAAACCAAAAGAAAAATATAGGTCTCACACAGACTCCTGGGAGATCAGAAACTGACAAAAAACAGACTTCAGAATGGAAATAATGAAGAGCCCCTAGAATGACTGGTCACATAATACAAACTCAGACATCAAGACGATTAATAGATAGAATAAAAAGAATTGAGGAGAGACAAGAGGAAAATAGGAAGGAGTTGATAACTGAGATAACAGCAGCAAAGAATACTGTGATTGAAATAAATAACAAACTAATAAGCATGGAAAGCAGAATTAGCCAAGCAGAAAAAAAAGAATCTCAGAGCTTGAGGATCAAAATATACAACTAACCCAAACTGTCCAAACCATAGAAAAGAAGCTTAAAAAGACAGAACAAAACCTTCAAGAGATGAGTGATTACTTCAAGAGGCCAAACCTAAGAGTAATTGGGCTACCTGAGGCGGAAAGAGAGACAGAGACCACCCTGGAACAAACATTCCATGAAATTATTCAAGAAAACTTCCCTCCTCTCATCAGTGATGTGAAAATTCAAACACAAGAGATTCAGAGAACCCCTGGAAGACAACAAATGAGAAGACCAACTCCCAGACACATAATAATTCACCTTAAAAAAAGTAGATATAAAAGAAAAAATCCTAAAGGCAACAAGAGGAAAAGGTCAGACTACCTACTGGGGAAGACCAATTAGAATAGCAACAGATTTATCTACAGAAACACTTCAGGCTAGGAAAGCTTGGAGCCCAATCTTCAAAGTTCTCAAAGATAATCAATTTCAACCAAGAATAACCTACCCAGATAAACTAAGCTTTATCAGAGAGGGAGAATTAAAATCTTTCCTAGACATTCAATCCCTAAGAACTTACGCTGCCTCTAGACCAGATATACAAGAAACACTTAAGAAAGTATTAAACACAGAAGAAAGGGAAAAAGAACAACAACATTCTTCACAAAAGTGCAGGAAAAGGATTAAAAACACACATGAATTAATCCAAAAATCAAAACACACACACACACACACACACACACACACACACACCAAACAGGAGCAACAACACCTCTATAAGAACCTCATGACGGGGATAACCCTCACATTTCAATAATTAGCCTGAATGTGAATGGAATAAATGTACCACTGAAAAGACAAAGAATGACAAAATGAATAAAATATCATGTGACAACAATATATTATCTCCAAGAGACTCATCTCACCAGAAAGGATACTCACAGAACTAAAGTAAGAGGATGGGAAGCAAAATTTCAGGCAAATGGGACATAAAAGAAAACTGGAGTTGCAATCTTAATCTCAGACAAAATACCCTTTAAGCTATCAAAAATTTAAAAAGATGAAGAGGGTCACTATATAATGATAAAAGTTTTGATCCATCAACAAAAAATATCCATCCTAAACATATGCGCACCCAACAAAGAAGTACCAACCTTCGTAAAGCAACTTCTAGGCAAACTTTAAAAAGAGATTGACTCTAACACTATCATAGCTGGGGACTTTAATACCCCACTCACAACCCTGGACAGATCATCAATACAAAAATTCAGCAAGATTCAGAATCTCAATGAGACTCTTGAACAAATGGACCTAATTGATATCTACAGAACACTCCATCCAACAATCACAGAGTATACATTCTACTCATCACAACATAGAATGTACTCCAAGATTGACTGCATCATTGACCATAAATCAAACAAAAAAAATTTCATAAGATTGAAATTTTGCCATGCACCTTCTCAGACCACAGTGGAATAAAAACAAATATCAACACCAACAAAATTCCTCCAAAATCCACAAAGGCATGGAAACTAAACAACATGATGCTAAGCCACTGCTGGGTCAACAATGAAATGAAAACAGAGATTAAAAGGTATCCGGAATCAAATGAAAATGAAAAACATCTTACGCAAACCTCTTGGATGCCATGCAAACAGTAGTAAGAGGGGAATTCATATCTTTACAAACACACAAGAAGAAAATAGAAAGATCACAAGTTAACAGCCTAACAAGTCACCTAAGGAAACTGGAAAAGGAAGACCACCAAAACCCTAACTTCAGAAGAAGAATCCAGATCACCAAAATAAAAGCCCAAATCCAGGACATAGATGACAAAAAGATAATACAAAAAAGCTGATATGAAACAAAAAGCTGGTTCTTTGAAAGGATGAACAAGATTGATGGTCCCTTAGTTAGACTGTCCTAGAAAAAGAGAGAAAAAACCCAAATAAACTCAATCAGAAGCACAAAAGATGAAGTCACAACTGACCCTGAAGAAATACAAAAGATTATCAGAGACTACTATATACTATTGTATGAAAACAAACTTGAAAACCTAAAGGAAATGAAGGACTTTCTGACATCATACAACCTCCCTAGGTTGAAACAAGAAGAAATCAAGACCCTGAAAAGACCCAAAACAATCAAGGAAATTGATTATGCATAAGAAAGCTACCTACAATAAAATCCTGGACCAGATGACTTTCCAGCAGAATTCTACAAAACATACAAGGAGGAACTGATTCCAATCCTTTTGAAAGTATTCCAGACAATTGAGAAAGATGGAACGCTCCCCAATCATTTTATGAAGCTAACATCACATTGATACCCAAGTCAACAAAGAAAGAGAACTACTGTCTTTGATGAACATAGATGCTAAAATTCTCAACATGATCCTAGCAAATCAGATTCAACAAACCATTTCAAAAATAATCCATCACGACCAAGTAGGCTTCATTCCCAGGATACAAGTGGTTCAACATTTGTTAGACCATAAATTAAATACATCAACAGACGTAAAAACAAAAACCACATGATTATATCATTAGATGCAGAAAAAGTTTTTGATAAAATCCAGCACCTCTTCTTGATAAAAACCCTTGAACATCTAGGCATAGGTGGAACATACCTCCAAATAATAAGAGCCATCTACAAGAAACCCACAGCCAGCATACTCCTAAACATACAAAAAAATGGAACCATTTCCCCAAAATACTGGAACAAGACAAAGATGCCCACTCTCACACCTCCTGTCCTGTTCTACATAGTTTTGAAAGTCCTACCTAGAGAAACCAGGAAAGAGAAGGTGATCAAGGGTATCCAAATAGAAAAAGAGGAAGTCAAATTATCTTTCCTTGAAGACAACATGATTCTATACCTTGAAAACACAAGAGAATCTGCAAAAACCTCCTTGCACTGATAAAGTACTTCGGCAAAGTCAGGGTATAAAATAAATGTGCAAAAGACAATCACATTTCTGTACACCAATAATAAGCAAACAGAAGCCCAAATAAAAAGTACAATTCCATTCCCAATAACTACAGAAGAATGAAATATCCTGGCATCTTCCTAACCAGAGATATGAAAGACCTTTACAATGAAAACTACAAAGCATTGCTCAAAGAAATCAAGGATGAAACAATCAAGAGGAAAAATATTCCATGCTCATGGATTGGAAGAATCAACATTGTTAAGATGTCCATTTTACCTAAGGCACTCTACAGATTTAACGCAATACCCATCAAATTACCAGCAACATCCTTCTCATACCTAGGAAAAACAATGCAGGAACTCATATGGAAATAGAAATAACCACAAATTGCCAAAACAATCCTTTGCAAAACAAAAACCAAAAAAAACCCCCA